CCAGGCGTTGGCGGCACGCCTAGGTGCGGCTTCGGCCGTGCCAGCCTCCAAATCTCTGTTGTGTTGGTTGAAATCCTGGTTATTTGTTGTGTGGACCAGGGGGTGGGGTGGAACGCCAAGGTGAGAATCCGTCCGAGCCATCCACCTGCGGCCTCTCTCGTCTCCGGTCTTCTTGACTCTGTCTTGACACCGGGCTCGGGCTCGGGAGGTGGGGAGAGTGTAGGTAGATGCAGCGCAAGTCTACCGGCACTATAAACCCCTGCGTAAATCACCGTCCCTGCTCCCGTTGCTGCTGCAACTGTGGGGCACACGGTGGACATCATCGAAACCGATGGTCGAACTGTCATACTCATTTGAAGGAAAACCAGTTCGAGATGCGGTATATCCACTTCATCAGCATCCAATGTGCTTAAATGACATCCAAATATGAAAAGTAAACATTAAGAAGGAACAAGCAGAATATGCTGGGATTTCACGCCACACGCGGCATGGTAATGCACATGCACTTGTTTTAAGCCAAAGTGGTGTTCAGTCGCGTGGGAATGCAACTGGTTGCCTTCACCACGCCATTATAAAAGGAGGTTAAGTAATGGACAAGTCCGCTCAGCGGCCTAACTCGAAAACAACAGGCGTTTTACCTTATTACAGGAAGACCGCCAACCCCCCACCCGCCCCAGCTACGATTTCCAAGAATGCGCTTTTAAGGTAAGCCCTGAACAACTGCATCTTCTGGGCTGCTAAGTTCGGTAGTCATATTTACTACCTGTTTCTCCATGAGCGAGAGTGGTTTTAGTCTGGTCAATAAGAACAATATATTGACTTTCTCAAGAAGCTAATCGACGTAGATGAGGGGAGCCACGATTGCCAATTCCAATGTGTTCACAGTAATTTGACAGTCATAAACCGACCGAACCATGACGAAGGGTAACACTCCTTAGGCCATAGCATCCTAGGTTTGATCGCACCTCTAGCGACTCTGCAGCCTGTGCTTAGTCTTCTACGCAGTTGTTTTGCCATCTTCCTGCGTTTTTATACGGTGTTAATTTTAGACGTGCCCATGTTTTTTTCACGCTTAACCCCAGATGTAGGGAGAAAAGTCTATGTCCTTCACTTCCATGGGCTTGCCAGTCAGAGCTGAGTTTGGTTGAAATACCACCGGGATCAACTGCGTCTTCGGGTTCGCACAGCACATGACTAACTATCACAGCCGGTGATCAAGGAGGACGATTAACTGCGGACGCAGACGGGGAGAGTAGTCTGAGCGGAAGCGCCGTTAACAGTATGTGCAATTATAAGTGGTCGATATTTTCTCAACGCCCAGGTTATACCTTACGACCGCGCATGTAGATTGTCTTGACAGACAGATTTTTCACCAAGCCAAATCCATCTCCAGTCCGGAATTTCAACTAAATCTGACTCAGGCTTCACACGGCTTTTCAGTCCGACAGTGGATTCCATCCTCGCCTTGTCCATTCGGCAAAAAACTGTTCCAATACAGCAGGAGCTATCCACTAAACCGAACATTTTTCTGCCAACCATGAATGGACACGTTTCCCACGGGAAAAGCCGAGACGCTCATCGTTGCTTAGAAGTATTATTTTTAAGCACGCCTCCGTTGTCTTCGTAGATATCGGGAACATAGCAAATTTCGACAAGTGTAGGGTATGTAACCCCCCACCCCTGTGCGGTTGGTGTGCTTCATAACGGTTTGCCTGGCAGTAGGTCACGAAAGGGGTTATGCAAGAAGCATATTTTGACCTCCAATAGCATTATCGATATTGAAGTTGTCTGTTTTGGGCTAAAGGTAAAGGTTTGGACAGAGGTTAAAACTGGTGTTAGTTGGGTTATTATTGGGAATAGGGTTCCCAGGCTTGGGCTATGGTTTTAATTTGGGATGAAGGCTGGATTTAGGGCTTTAGGGCTTGCTTTGTCGTTACGGTTACGTCCGACTTTTCCTTAACTGCCTACAGGCTACAGATTTTTCACTGAAGGCATGACCGTGAGTGGCGTTGCGTTTGTAGCTAACTACTATCTCCCCAAGGGGGTCACATGCCATACCCCTGCCCAGATTTCACCCCTGCAAAGAAAATAGAGGGCACACTGAAGTTATCATCGCGCAAACAGTGGCCGGCTGTAACGCTGCGATGGTCTGTCAGCACCTGTAAATCTTTGTGTTCGCCGTCCACCCCACGGAGTAGGCACAGCACTAGCGCGTGAAGTATGCCCTACTGAGGCAGACTTACACATTATCTACTGCACTTTGTCTTCTCTCCCCCACCTTGCTCTGATGAGAAGACGGTGTCAGGATTACTGGGTACGAGCTCAGCAGCAGTAACTGACAAAGCCAAGTACTCCGTCTACGCGAGCCACGCACCGCCCGGACCCAAATACATGCATCGGGCTATCGGTGTAGAAGACGATCTCGTGCTCTGACAGGTGGAGAACGTAAACATGACGCTGCGATCTGACGGGTCAGGCATAGCGTTGGTTTGGACCTCTTACTTTGGATCGTGGAGAATTCCGATCAGATTGTGACAATTCTACGGTCGAAATTTACAGAGATCTCGGCTTGACGTTGGCGGCATACATCCCTTCTTAAGGCCCGGCCAGGAAGTTCACTTCGATGAGTTGTGGCCAAACTGTTGAAACCACAAATTTAACACTCTGATATTGCAAACTGGGATGCTTGAAGAATAGCCATTTGAAGGCAAATCACGTCGTTCGACGATGTAACAGTTGCCACTCTAAATTTTCGATGGGGGAATTTCTAGAAAAATCACAAAAGCTTACACAAATGTCTACCGGAAAAAAATTTACTCTTGAGTTTGGAAACAAAATTCTTTAATTGCGCCCTGTGGTGAAACCATTATGAAACGAGGGCCAGTGACGCTAGCTATGCGTCAGAGGCTAAGTGGGTCACGTGACACCAGCATTAATTTGCAATCAACTGAGCGTAGGCAGGAATTTCAATTCCTCACTGGCATTTGAGGTCACCTGAAACCACATCCAAATAAGTATCTCATTAAGCGGTCTCGATAAGGGTATAATTTAGCAGGATTTGTTAAAAAGATACTCTGTTCTATCTGCAGACATCCGTCATTGTTTTCAGACCGAATTAGTTGACCATGGGACGATCGACTTTTTTGTTTCGCTGCCTTAACCTTCTGACCGTCGTTAGTGAATGTTGATGGCCTCCTGTGTTGTGTGTCGTCATTTCAATGGGGGGTCGGTTGCGTTTGTGTTCCCCTTTGGGTGAATTAGTCGATGGACCGTGCTTTCTGGGTATTCTTAAGCTCCGTGTGACCTTCTTATCCTGGCCATGGCGTATGCAGTGACGAAGAACTTTATGGGCCGCAGGAAGTTCTAGATGCCTGTTGATGGAGTTGACATCTGAGAACCAAGCCACACGTGTGAGACGTTTGATTAAAGAGGAAGCATGAAAAGCTGACGGAATGTCGGCTCTGGCTCAGAAGCCAGAGCGATTTGAGAGCTTGTGGTGCAGCAAGCATTTTTCGATTATTTGGGTTGAAAAATTTTGGAGAAGCTGCCCTAGAACGTGCCCCTTAGCGAGCCCTTCATAAACAACCCCATAGTGCCTGAGAGATAGGATGAGATAGAGCACTTTTGGCAGACTCTACAGCAGTCCACAAGCATGTGTTATCAATTACAAATGACACAAATTTAACCCAATTCTTGATACCACATTCAGTCGCCTCAAGCGTCACAAAAGCCCCATAACTTTCAGAACAGGATTATAGTTCGACCGTCGCGACAGACGATGTCCTACGCGTGCTTCACAGCAAGTGAAGCAGGGACGGTGAAGTTCGCGTAAATTAGTTTATAGTGAGAATGGACTTGCATAGCATCTACCGCACTCTCTCCTCCTCCACCTGGAACCGACGTCAAGGCATATTCAAGAAGGCCGGAGGCGGGAAAGGGCGTCCTGGTTGACACGCCCGGACCCACACCTGGACGTACCACCACGCCCCCTGGTCCACAACATACACATAATCAGGATTTTTGCCAGAAACAGCACAACAACGGGTCAGGAAGACGAGAGTGACTGGACAGTCATGCACGCACGTCCTGTATACCTAGCGGAAGCACAAGCACATCTGCCGACAGGGGAACAAGTGTCCGAGAACTGCCAGCGTACACCAGACTGTGGAGGGTCACGGTTTACTGAATCATGGTGTAGCAGACGCTCACAAACCTTAAGGCCCCGCAGCTCCGGATTTAGCCCAAAAGCCATCACTCTTCAAAAGCTGGGTAACCAGTCAGTCATCGACTGGGGGGCACTACCCATAAAGTACACACGACTGAGAGTGCCAGAGGTCACGCCATGACAGCCTGGCTCTCAGCCCACCAGTCCGCCACAACACAGCAGCACTAACAGCTGGACAGACTGCGTAGGCTGAGTTGAGATGTCGATCGGCAGTCTTCCAAGCCACGGCGCTTGGCGCACAGTCTCAGACTCGGATCACACATGCAGCAGAGAAGCCACATGGAGAAGGAGCCGAAGAACAGACTTCCCACTTGTGTGGTAGGTGGTAACCGAGTCCTCGCGTTGTGTGGCGATGGGTGATGTTACTGAGTGTTGTGAGTGGCGATCAGGATTTTAAATAAACGGCCGAATTAGCTGGCGTTGGGCTGATCGATTTTTCCTCTTCTTTCACTGCCTTGGCCCTCTGACTGTTGTTTGTGACTGTTGGTGGCCTCCTGTGTTGTGTGTTGTCACTTCACTTGGGGTCGGTTGCGTTTGTGTTCCCCTTTTGGGTGAATTCGTCGACGGGCCGTGTTTGTTCGGTACACTTAAGCTCCGTGTGGCCGTCTTCTCCTGGTCATGGCGCATGTACTGGCGTAGGACTTTATAGGCAGCAGGAAGGTCCAGATGCCTGTTGGTGGAGGTAGAATCTAGGTGCCAAGCCTCAAGTCTGAGACGCTCAGTCCTTGTGGTGCCCCTGCCTAAGACGGTTGCTCCTTGAAAGTCAAAACTGTGGTCACTGTCTCCGAAGTGAGTCGTAAGCTGTGAGTTTGGGTCTAGTCTCCGAGTTGCCAGTTTTTGTTGATGTAGGCGGGTCTACAATTTCCTTCGGTTTCCCAGCGTAGTTGCAGTCTCCATCGTTACAACTCATTTGATAGACAACTGCTGAGGTTTCAGTGGGTGGCAGTATGTCTTTGGGTTGCATCAAACGGCGACGAATTATTGCCTGAGGTCGATGGGCAATGCCTATCCTGGCGGGTTGTAACAGTCTTGAAACCGCCTCGGAGACTCCTTTAATGCAAGAAATAGCCCTCCAGACTTCGGGTTGTTCTTCTTGTAGCCGCCGTCTGCTCACTCGGCGCCTCTTAATCGTGTCACCATCCTGGATAAACTCAAGGGGCTCGGTTACAACCCCGATTCGTCCGTTCGTTCTCGTGTCCAGAGAGTTTTCGGCGAACTTCGTACTAAGCAGAGTGACCAGGTGACAATTAGGTGAACCCACAAAGGTGACGTAGGTGGCCTTGGAGATGGGAATGAGCAGGGTGCCAGTGTAGGCCTTCTTGGCATCCAGGGCGTCCAGGGTGCCTAGGCGGAGGGCGAGGTCAACAGACTAAGACAAGAACAAGAATTCACAAGACAGAGAACTGGGGGAGCAGACCGAATTGGAAAACCGAACAATTGTAGAGATAAATTCATTCCCTTGAAGATTTGTAGAAGACTTTGACAATGAGATCGTCATGCCTGAGGCCTATGTATACATGTTTTATGTTCGATTTCTTTGGACAGGCGTCTGTATCCGGTTGTCGACCTTGGAAAGGACACATTCGAATGTATTTTGGCCATATTTATTCCCTTGGGATAAAGTGATTTGGCTGGTAGCTGACTTCTATCGGCGAGGTTTTGTCCTACAGCCCCACTCGAGTGATAACGTATGGTTAGATTTCAAAAAAATTTGGTAGATGCGAGTACGCTGACTTTACAAATATCATGTATCTGCATCTTCCTCACCATTTTAATCCAACGGGCGACTGTGCCACAGGGGCGAAGTGCTTATACGCTGGCCTCGGCCACTTCAGTTATCAGTTCAAACGCGCTTCCCTGCGCGTGCTTCTAGGCCTGTTTGGGCTCGGTTTATCATCCTAATCCAGCGAGTGGCCAAGTAGCTTGCTAATTGAATTGTTCCAACGGTGTGGAATTCCGTCGATCCCACCTCAGTGGCCATGCACTGCGAATTGCCACTCGGTACCCTCAGTGGCCTTCCAGTTGTGATTGCGCTCCCAATATCCTCTACATCCAGCGAGTGGCTGTGTGTCTGAGGGGGGAGAGTTTGTGCCCGTCCTGTTCACTCGCTTGCCTGCGCGTGTTTCGTACACTGTTTGTGATCGGATGCTATTCTCGCTCTCAAGCGAGTGTCTGTGTGTGGGGGAGTGTGCACAAGCCCCCTTCACTCGCTTTCCTGCGCATGCTTCGTGCTCTGATTGCGCTCGAATGGTTATGTTGGGTATGTTACCTACCATTATTTTAGTAAGCTAACCATGTGGTAACGATCAAATGGGGCCGCAGAACCAAACCTCGCCCGACTATCTACCTTGAAAAAGATACATTTGAAAGTATCCTCGCTATAACTGCTTGGCGGCAGCATACGACATAAAGCCGCAGAAAAAGTAATACATGGTAGTCGCACATGACAACATAGTTGAAAGTTACTTCTATTAATCTGGTACAAAGTCTGGTCATAGCGAACTATCATTATACTAGTAGAGTTCAATGTCCAGACGATTTAGGGTTTAGTAGAAAATATACAGTGAAGAAGTGTGCACGTTAATGTGGGATGACGTAACTGCGGGTTGGGTCAGCTGATACCGCTGCCGCAGTCACCACGATCAGTATTGCACAACGGCACTGTAATTGGGCCTGGCGTTGCCGTCTGCGCGGGATAAAGTACTGTTTAGTGGTCAATTTCATGGGGGGGGGGGAGGATTGTTAGGTTTCGGTTAAACCCCAGGAACATTTCCATGGCAGAAACTGGGGCGTCCGAAAACAGGCCTGCTTAAACAGCTGATTTAGAAAACTGACAGGTACAACATCATTTTCTTGGACTGACGGTTTACCTCAGTCCCTTGGCTGAACGTCGCACATTTAGCAAACCCCAGTTTGGCGAATGACGACTCATTAGGCGTGCTCGATTAATGAGCAGAGCTCATTGAGCTGGCCCGCAGCTGTAGTCACCTCGCCTCGGTAAAAAAACTTCAAACCTCATCAGTATTTCAAAAGAAACTTATTAAGTAGTCTTTTCTGCCTAAAACATTACACAATTTTGCCAGCAACAAAAAGACCACGTGTTGCAAAACAGACTCAATGGAAACCCAGAGCTCTAGGTTGAGAAGTTTTGTCATAACCGTACTGGACACTCGACACCAACTCTACGAATTACTACTAATTCAGATCGCCCAGACACCGTTGAAGGCGGTGAGATACGTCAATATATTAGAAAGTTAAGATTGGATTAAAAGCGTTTTTTTGGGTAAGATGTGATTATGTAACCCCACCTGATGGACACAATACTGATAAAGTTGGGGTTAGGGTTATGGGTCATAGTTACTTGTTGGGGTTAGGGGGGCTAGGGTTAGGGGTTAGGGCAACTATTTCTCAACCACTCAAAGTACAATCGTGCATTCTCAATAGCTTTTCTCTTGCATGCAATTACTTGACTCCGTCGCCTGTGTGTTCCCCGATCCCACCTGTAAAAACCCCTATTACCACCGGTCCCGTGTTACAGGTGGCTAGATTTTTTAAACTCCGGTTCGGCCCCATAACCACATCTGACCGCTCATCTTCTATCTTCCAATTTTTTGAATTACTCCGGCTCTCCTTTGGACCATATTCGTATTCCCTGTTGGATTGTCAACAATCAGCCGCCGAAACTTGGAGTAGTGTGATACTATCTTCCTACTGCAAGCGTAATTGCCGCGCACATTAAGCACTTTCACATGCGGTTTAGCCCCAAGAACCATCGCAGTAAAACATGCCATGTAGCCGAACTTTAATCACTTACACTGTTTGGAGTTTGAATGAACTGCTCACGTCAACGTTTTTCACGAGCTAGATCTGCGAAATGCCCCCGCATGACGGCAAAAGAAGTACGCACACCAGTACCTGTTTGCTTCAGGTGCGGCTACATAACCACATCTGACCGTTCTCTGCCTCGAGGCCAGGCTCTAATATCGGTGGTTGGTTGCTAGACTAGAATTAATTCTAAGGTAGTCGACTGTAGTATTTACCCACGGGAATTATGCGACTAACAAACCAAAGAGAATTTTCCGACTTTTCTACCTACTTGAACGGCGACGATCACAGAATTCTTGGGTATCCAAGTACTTGGATTCAGTTAATACTATTCAATATGAGAGGGTTTCTTGACCCGATACGACTTATAATCATATAAAATACCTCTGTATTCACCTCGAGCTAAGTGCAGCAATACAAAGCATTCGAGCAGTCCGATGAATCTTCTAGCTCCTCGGCTAGACAACCAAGCAAGTAAATGTTACTTTGGAAGATGTGGCATTCCTGCGGGTATTAACCACTCTCTTTTTTAGCAATTGCTTTGCCATACAGTCGGTGCCCTCAGCATTGACCTTCCCCGCCTCCTTCACTGAAATATCCTCTGCTGATCTCAGTTACTGCTGTTTAGAACTGGAATTCTGAGCTCCACATGTACGCCTGACTTCGTCTGAACGACCCGGCGCGCCAGACAGATCCATGCGACGCGTGCAGTTGGCTGCGGCCTATTCGGCGCCGCCGCCGCCGCCGCCGCCGCCGCCGCCGCCGCCGCCGCCGCCGCCGCCTGATCGTGGCTGCCAAAACGCGTGCCCGCGCTGCGTGGCAGACGTCATTGTCGCGCGCACGCGGCTCCACGCGGCGCACGCAGTCGCCACGCCGGCGTGACCGCCGGCTGGTGAAACCGGCGTAGTTATTATACTCACGCTATTCAAGCACGTGGCAGTAAGGGCACTGAAGTCAGCATATTAGGAGGCGCAACGTGGAAGCCATGAGCGAAGGCCAAACGCCCGCGACTCGGTTACATAGCACTAGAACAGAGGACAATGTCTTGCTTGCTTTAGTATTCTTCAGCAGGCGATTTGCCGCCATCCTACTCCCACATAGGCGGGGTCCTTTAATTCGGGAGACGGGAGGGATTCACCTGTGACTAGGCATGAGGGAGAATTTGAGTGTAATCGTCTCGGGTCAACGGTGCCCCCAAAACCGCCTTTGCAATGTGTGTGAGAGGGTGGGGAACTGTTGACAACATTTCTCATTGTTTTTGGTAAGATGTGGCGCAACTGGCGGACACAATACTGTTTACATACTTAATTAGGTCAGATTTGGTTATGTGGCCGCACCTGGGGTAAACAAATCCCAGCCACCTGTAATGCGGGACAGGTGGTAAGAGGGGTTTTTACAAGTGGGGCCGGGGGGAACGCACAGGCGACGAGGTCATGTACTTGTATGCAAAATATAAGCTATTGGGAATGCACGGCTGTGCCTTGAGTAGTTTAAAAATAGTTGGCCTAACCCCCTAACCCAGAGCCCTTACCCCTAATCCTAACACTAACCCTAATCTTAACCCTTAATCGCAGCCCTGAACCCTAAACCTGAAGCATCCAAAGCGAAAGTTAGAAGGAGGCGAAAGGCTTAAAGTCAAGATGGACCACCGGCATTGGGCCGAAAAAGGTAGACACGGCAACAGAGAAACAAGGCCGCCAAGAAAACGCACACCGCAACGCACAGCAACACCATGCCGACGTAATCACACCAACTCGAAGTAATTAAGGGCAGGATCTTATTTCGTAGCCGTACCTGTGAGGGCTCAGGGTTTAGGCATAAGGGCCAGGGGTTAGGCTTAGGGGTTAAATGTCGATGTCAGGGTTGGGTGCTAAGGGTTGGGGTTAGGGGTTAGAGTTAAACCCCCATTATCGCTGGTCCTGTATGACAGGCGGGCGGGGCTTGTCTACTGCAGGTACGGCTACAAAGTAAGATCCAACGAAAATCTGTTTTATTATTTTTTTAATGAGGGTAAAATAAGAACTGTGTGCAATTATCAAATAGGAATTCCTGCATGGAAATACAGCACTGCAGACAGCTCAGATTCAACTAAACAAAGGACAGTATCAAATTAGTTCGCGAAATTTCGTTCTAGTAACTTTTACCTCACGAATGAGCCACATCGTCGGCCGGAATCAAAGATGAATGATGACGAACTGGAGATCATCGTCGAGTCAGCTTCGTCTCAAAAGGGACAGGAATTATCGCTGACGTTTTGGTGTTGAAAAGCAAACACTCTCAGTCCCCCTGGCTGAATCTGACAAAGTGAAAAGGTTAAATATATGGGCTCCACATGAACTGCATGAAGAGCAGAAAAACAGCGGTTGGAAACCTGCATGATGTTACTTTCTCATCACAAACGTATCTAGCGTTTGAGTCGAATTGTGACGTGTGATGAAAAATGGATCCAGTACGATAGTTGTAAACGTTTAGAACAACAAGGACAAGCCACTGAAACACAGTTCGCAGCGCAGTATTTATTAAAAGAAGTCGATGGTGGGTGTTTGATGGTATGGCGCAGGTTTAACCCATTATGATTTCATGAAATCCGACCCAGCGGTCACGGCGGAAGTATACCGCAACCAGCTGGACTAAATTACCCAAAAACTTGCAGAAAGACAGCGCAGATTGGTTGACCGATCAACCCCTACTCTATAGGCCGTATGTTTTTACCGACAAAAACAAGGGGGACTGGAATGGTCATTAGTAGCTTATTAGCCGTCGCCAGTCAGCCATACCCAACCCCAGGGTGTGTAACACCTGGGACTCGAACTCGCGACCTGTTAGTTAGAAGTCCACGCCTCTAACCACTGGGCCAGGTGTTCCACACTTCGCGGTTGGGTATGACTGGCTGACGACGTCCAATAAGCCAGAATTTGCCATTCCAGTCTCCCTTTTCTTTGTCGGTAATAACATTCTGCCTATATAACACCGTGTTGTGGAGCACATGGTGGACATCGCCGAAACCGACAGTCAAACTCTTAGGTCTGCTATGCGCCAGACACCGTCCTGCGTTCACCACACTGTGGTGCGGACGGTTGGACGTCGTCATACGCGATGGTCGAACTGACGAAATATTTGATTTCCAGTCAATGTCCTCTCCTGGGCAGCGTCCCATTCCCAATTTATGCGCAGCGCACCCAACTGAGCATAGCGAAAATCCTCATGCTGCCTTCTGAACTGTCTCGGCCAGTCCGGGGACGCACTTCTGTGATTAGTTCTCACTTCGCGCGAGCAATGCGACCCCGTCTTCAAGTCGTTGCTTTTCGCAGGCTCTGAATTCGACTTATCGTCAAACCCGCCCAAAAGTTCGCTTCAACTCTCGAGGCGTCCAAAGTGTCACTTGTTGTCGAGATAGAAGGCACCGTCTTAGAATATTCGAAACACTTTGCTGACGCTTCAGGGTCACGTCGCGGTGTCGTGCTTCTCCGGAAAAATGAGCATTTCGTACGATTCGGTGCTCTGGGCTGAGCGATAGCAAGCGATCCCATTGCATCTAATAGCTAGTACTCTACATGTTTTGCGAACAAAACAGCCAGCCCTATACTTCCGCCGAACAGGCCTGAAAAAACCTGACTGACAATAAGCAAGAAATGGAAATCTCGAGTTCCCTTGTTTTTGTTGATGAAGCATCTTCTTTTATGGGTCGGCAGACATGAAATTTGTGGTGAGGCATACGACCAAATTTATCAGCTTATTGCTTCACGTTGTTAGTGTATTTTGACATTCTTTTGTGTTTGTCAGAAAGGTGCCACACATATTTTTCATCCTTAATGACTTTGCTCTTTGAAAATATGAAGTCTCTATTTTGTTGCTCTTTTTTAAAGATGGGGGAAGTTGGAAATCTGTTCAATTATGAAATACGAATTTTTACATGGAAATACAGCGTCACAGACAACTCGGGATACTAATGATGCATTTTGTTCTAATTTGACTACACAACAGATAGTATCAAATTGGTCTGCGAAATTTCGTTCTGGTAACTTTGAACTCACAAATGAATCTCGCGGTCGACCTGAGTCAGCGGGGAAAAATTATGTGCTGAAAGTCACCATCAAGTCAGATTCATCTCAAAGTGCACAGGAATTATCCTTGATTGCTGATGTAGCAAGCAAACAATATTAACTCACCAGGCTGAAATCAATAAAGGAGAAAAGTTGCATACGTGGGTTCGACCTAACTGAATGAAAAGCAGAAAAAAATTGATGATGCCATTTCGTCACAAAAATGATTCCTGTTTGAGTCGAACTGTAACATGTGGTGAAAAATGGACCCAGTATGATAGTCGTAGACGTATAGAACAAGGCCAGGCCACTGAAACATAGTTCGCAGCGCAATATTTATCAAGAGATGTCGATGGTGGGTGTTTGATGGTCTGGCACAAGTGTAACTGATTATGGTTTCATGAAATCCGGCCCGGCGGTCACGGTGGAAGTGTATTGCAATCAGCTGGACCAAATGACCCAAACACTTGCAGAAAGACAGCATAGACTGGTTGACTACTAAACTCCTACTCTATTGCACGATAGCGCTAGACCACACGCTGTACCACTACACCCCACTCACCGGATCGTCTTCCCACTTTCCGGAATTTCGACAACTTTTCCACTGGAAAATGATTTAATTTCGACAACGCAGTAAAATAGGCCTTCCAAGACTTCATTGACTCTCAATTACCAGGCATTTACATCAACGGACTGAACAAGCTACCGCTGGAATGGCAAAAGTCCATTGACAGTATGGGCGCACACTTCGGTGGATAAAACATTAACATACAGTTAGTCACCTAAAGCATGAAATGTGTCGAAATTTACGAATGATTGCCAATCACTCGCAAACCGACACCATTTCATGTGTCCAATGTCTATGTTAATTAAGTACAAGCTTAAAAGAATTAAAAACACAGAAAAGATAGAAGGCAGTTTTGCGTTGGTTAGATATGTCGATTTGTTTCGAAAGGCGCCATATCCCGAAAACGTCAGAAATGGCTCTAATTTAGTAAACTTCGTTGTTGGATGTGTAGAATGTATTTTCATATCAAAACCGTAGTAAATAGGAAAGTAGAAATAAAATAACATCTAATGTTGGAGAAGGGGACGCGATCGCCGGGACAAGAGCTTTATTAGCCTGACGTTTCGGATTCCTGCTCGAACCCATCATCAGAGACAAAAGCAGATACGGGTGGTTCATGCATAAGTGGTTGCAGTATTTATAGGATGCAGTAGCCACGCTACCGCATACCTATGAACATTCACGCCCCCCCCCTTCATCAGGGATCTTTGCACGTGGCGTGGTGGCCGACATTCGCGTCGTTAATTGCTGCAATTTCATCACGTGCGTTGGATTTTGGTGTGATAATTGCTCGAGCATCTGACGTCTAATAATAGTTTCAGTGAAATTTACATGTAAATATCGTTTAATAATTAGTGTGATTTCATATATGACGGTTTTTCAACTGCCTACATTCTGAGTGTAGATTCCAAAACAGTTTTCCAGGGTATCGTGTTGTCCTTGACTCTTTTGAGTTAGATGAGATGGGGTTCAACAAGAGAAACCGGATTTTGCTTGATTTCACCGATGGGCAAAAGTGTATTGACAGTATGGATGCACACATTAATGGATAAAACATTAACATACTTCGTCCTTTTTCCTACATATTTCACATTTGGTAATCCAACACACGTATACATGGGAGCAGTGGTCAGCACGGTCAAACAACCCATCTTCATAAGTCACACACTTTCTGATCCATATTTTGTATAGGCCAGACTTCAAGGAGTAAGGTCTTGGAGCTCACGCACCCGAGACGGTCACATTAAAAAGGTCCACAGAAGTCCGACCAGAGTTCCAAGGGACAACCGGCTTGGTCCGCCAGCTGGCAACCTTCTAAGCCGCAGTCCTGGGTGTGTAACGACAGATTAAAGTCCAATGTTAGGGGACGCTCATCGATCGTTCTTACGGAATTCACTCATTCCTTTGTGCTTTATGGACTCTCTATCTCTCGGGCCCAACCAGCAGCCACACAGCGGCGCATGACATGGCCAGTATGTTATTACTGACAAAAACAAGGCGGACTGGGATGGCCATTTCTGGCTTATTAGCCGTCATCAGCCAGTCATACCCAACCCCGAAGTGTGGAACGCTCGAGGCTCGAACTCGCGACCTGTTAGTTAGATGTCCACGCCTCTAACCACTGGGCCACGAGCCCGCCAAGATTAAAGTCCATCAAATTCACGATGGTATTTTGACCGTCGTATGCAACAGTGTCCTCCGTGCGTCCCGCAGCAGAGTGGATGCAGGGACGCTAACTCGCTCTTGAACTAGTTTATAATGGTGACACACTAGCGCAGCATCTACCACACTCGCCCCTCCTCCCTCACCTGGACTCAGCGTCAGGGCAGGTACAGGTGGCTGGCAGAGCTGATGACCCGTCTACGCGTACCACACACGTATGCTCTAAGCAGGGTGCGCTGCGTTTTCGCAAGAACACAAGCGAGGCCACTTGGACTCCAGCAGGGTGGGAGTGTCATAGAGGCCACATCAAGAATGAGTCATCGCAGCCTGACTCTCAGAGAAGGATCGAGTCGCCCGTCAGTTGGCAGCCTCCAAAACCACAGCCTTTAGCGTACCGTGGTAGTTTAAAAGAGCGTCAGTTGTTTACTTTGGGGGAATATGTGCTGATTGCCATGGGGATGCAGTTCCTAGACCCGGCCTTACCGTCTGCTCCTTCTCTCCGGGCATCGTCCAAGCCGATCAGCCACCTGAGGCGGGATCAGGCGCAGGTGTCTGACGCGGCACGAGCGTGCGCCTGGGCGTGCCACTACACCTCCCTCCATATATGAAGTTTTTCCTGGGTGCGTAGCCCAACACCTCGTGCCAAACCATGATCTGGCCCTCCCGTGTTGGTTCGGTGCAATTTCCGAGTGGCCCGCTATAGGGGAACAAACTCACACAAGTGAGGAATAAGCTGATTTGCCATGCGGGAGTGTACCAAAGTACCGGTCTAACTGTTTCTTATGCATTTCATCCCGCCATCTGGCCAGTCAGTCTGTCGCCAAAAGGTACTGCCTAGAATGTATTCGTTGGTGCAACTGCACGATCGAGGTGCGCAACTCTCAGACGCGCCTCATCTGATCGAAGACGGCAGATGGGCGCTGGCTTGTAGCAGTTAAAGTTTGTTTGAGCAAACTATGTTTCATCGACCCCAACGCATGACTTCAAACAAAGATTAATAACATCAGAAAGAGCCCGTCAGAGAACATGAGGATGGCCAAATAGATAGTTTTCAAGGAAATTTATGCCGCAGGGTCATCCACGTACTCCCAAAACGCTAGTCTGGTGACAAAAAGCAAGGAGATGAGGGGAAGGGTGGGAGGGACGGACTGCGTCACGCAACACGAAGTCCAACACCGCCAAGTTTAACCAATTGCTGATGCTGATCTTCGTTGAGAGAAAGGGCGGATTTAAAGGGTATTTCTACGTCTCACCATGTTCAGACAGTTTGTTTAATTCCCACCGATTTCCCTCAGAGATTCGAACTTCGCCCTCTCAGGGGGTACTGTTTTGATTCGTTTGGGAAGTGGAAGAAAAATCGATAAATACCTCGCCGGCTGATTACCACGCAACTCACTACATAACCGTTTGGCGCATTTATCCACTCCGTCATTTAACGCCAAATATCGCGAAGCTGTAGGTTAGCGTAGATTTATTATTGAGCAGTTAGTCTCAATCCCTGTGGGGGCAAACATCTGATCACTGTCGCTCTTTGTAAAAAATTTCCTTCTTCGACCGCGAGTTTATGACTGCAGCCTAAGTTAGCGGACGACAGTGCCACGACAGCTGTTGTGTTTTACTTCCATGAGCTGTATCCCCTCCTCCTCCTCCTCCTCCTCCTCCTCCTCCTCCTCCCATCATCATCATCATCATCATCATCATCATCATCATCATCATCATCATCATCATCATCATCATCATCATCATCATCATCATCATCATCACCACCACCACCACCACCACCATCATCATCATCAACATCATCATCATCATCATCTTCTTCTTCTTCTTCATCATCATCATCATCATCATCTTCTTCTTCTTCTTCTTCTTCATCATCATCATCATCGTCGCCGCCGTCGCCGTCGTCGTCGCCGTCGTCGCCGTCGCCGTCGCCGTCGCCGCCACCATCATCAAATGTGGGATCGGTGGTCGTCTGGAGATCGCATGATTGCATCCAAACGCAAAATGAATGTGAAAGTACCCAGGTCGGGACTTTAATCCTTCAAATCTACGGAAGAGAGCTCGACCACTAGTAGCAGAGTTTTATTCATCTGGGTTCTGAGCTGGGTCATAGGCTAATTTTCGGAAACAGTTGCTCCTCAGTTGCACAAGTTCGAGATGAATTGCCAGTGCAGAGTTTAAACTGATCGTTTTGGAGATTTTTTAAAATAAATTTGAATGAAACCAAGAAGCAGCTCTAAGGCCCTGTCGGATAAGCCTTTATCACCAACGAATGACTCCTCTTCCTTAAATGTGCAATTATTAAAGTGATTTCGGCGTTCGCTTTGTTCGCGGTTGGATATTGATCTACCTTGCTTTGGGGTTTTACGCGGAGTTTCAGATTTGCCGCACGCTAACAAGGCGTTTTAGTTTGTTTATAACGTCTGCCACTCGCACTTGCGCGGCGAGGAAAACATCAAGGTTACAGCGACCGCGATAGCCAATCAACGAGTTGTAATTCGGCCATTTCGTGCGAAATGACGAAGTGGTTTACTGTCAAGAGGCGTTGAATCGAGCAGCCTGTTTTTGGCTGGATCATCCTTCTCAGCCCGCCACGACTCGATCCAGAATCTGGAGGTGATGGTTCGACCGTCATTTCCGACGATTTCCACTGTGGGCTCCACAGCAGGATGAGAGCAGGGACGATAACTCGAAAGTGAATTAGTTTATGGTGATAGTATATTTGCACAGCA